GCAATGATGTGTGGTTGGGAAGACCCCCCCACCCCCCCACCCCCACTCCCATCTAAATCTGAATGGTATTTTGTTTTGGACTTCTGTACTCATCATGGATTGTGCACAATGAACACCATGTTCAGGAATAAAGGTGTCCATATGTGCTCTTGGCACCAGGATGCCTTGGACTTTGTTGTCTCATTTGATCTGCGGCTGCATGCCTTGGAAACTTGGGTGAAGAGAGGGAAAGAACTGTCAGCTGACCACTACCTGGTTGTGAGTTGAATTTGATGGTGGGGGAGCATGCCAGTCAGACCTGGCAAGCCCAAATGTATTGTGTATTTTGAAGAGAATGTCTGGCAGAGTCTCCTGTCAGAAGGAGCTTCAATTCCCACTGTTGACAGAACTTCCAAAACGTTCCGAGAGAGGCAGGGGACATTGAGTCCGAGTGGGCCACGCTCTGTGCTTCCATTGGCAAGGTGGCCGACCAGAGCTGCAGTCGCAGGGTCGTTGGTGCCTTTCCCAAAGGCAAACTCACTGCTAGACACCGATGGTTAGGGATGCTGTCAAGCTGAAGAAAAAAGTCCTATTAGGTAATTTTGGCCTGCGGTATTCCAGAGGCAGTTTATAGGTACTGGCAGTCCAAGTGGAATGTGGCTCTGGTGGTCGCAGAGGCAAGAACCTAAGCATGGGAGGAGCTTGGTGAGACCATGGACCAAGACTTCCATATGGCGTAGAGGTGACTCTGGCCCGCCATCTGGCATTGTAGGAGGGGAAAGCAGAGAGCTACCAACACAGTTTAAAGTGGGGCCAGTGTACTGCTGATCTCGACTTGGGACGTTGTGGATCAGTGGGCAAAGTACTCCAAAGACCTCCTCAATCCCACCGGCACAAACTCTAATTTCCCTTCCCTGGGACAAATAAAGCTTTTCATTTCATTTTTTTCATTCATCTTCCATTGAGGAAGCAGAGTCTGGGGACTTTGGGTTGGACTCTCAACTCTCTGGTGCTGAGGTCACTGAGGTGGTCAAAAAGATGCTCAGCGGCAAGGCCCCAAGGGTAGATGAGATCTGCCTGGAGTGTTATATTGGCTGATGCGACTCTGCAATATTGCGTGGACATTGGGGGCAGTTCCACCGGATTGGTAGACTGGGGTGGTGGTCCCCCTATTTAAAAATGGGCACCACAAGGTGTGTTCCAACTACAGGGGTATTGCGCTCCTGAGACTCCCTGGAAAAGTCTATTTACAGATTCTGAAGGAGGAGGGTTCATCAAATAGTTGAACCTCAAATTCAGCAGGAGTAATGTGATTTTCGGCCTGGCCATGTAACACTGGACCAGCTCTATACAGGGTCCGAAATTAACACTCGCCAAATGCGAGCAAATTGCTCCATTTGGCGAGTACATTTTTGAGCTCTATCTGCCACATGGCGAGTAAATGTTTGCACCAAATTAGTTATGTTTATCAGTCATCTTCCATGGATTTCTGATACTCCTCCCGCCTGCATGCATCGTACACAAACGTACGCGAAACGTGAACGCTGCATCCAACGTCATTTCCACCTATCCCATTCAATCAGTTTATCAAGTTAGCGGTTAGCTTCGTGTTAAAACTAGCGGTGAAATGTGGCGGTTTTTAACTGGAGTCAGCCAGCCTTCCAAAGGAAAACTCGTGGAACTGGAAGAAAAACCACCAGGACCAGTGGCAACCAGAAGACTTTGTGAAAAGTGGCGAACTGGAGATGGCGGAGTCGTGAGACAATGGCTACATTATGATGGCCACGTAGCGTTGCTGCCTTTCACAGACAACTGTCCCTCGGCATTCTTCAAATGTCCAATAAATGCCCATACTTCCGACTTTGTCTTCTTTGAGGGATAATAAATGTCCCGAGTGCTGCCGTCTCCTCCTTTGGCCATTATTTCAGCTTTAGCTTAAAGAAAGTTTTGGTCGTAAACAAAAAAGTGCGCATGTGCCGCAGGCATATGGTGGCTGGTAAGGGTCATCGCGCCTACACCACAGCCACGGTAATCCACCGAGATAATATATTTTTTTTTTAAACAAGACGGTTATTATTGTCGTCAACTTTTTTACCGGGGTTTACTGCTACACCGGTTACCGTGACAACCCTAGCCCTGACACACTTTCAGATATTCTCATGGTGCAGCTGTGTTCTCCAGAGATCAAGGACTAGGACCCAAATGAGGCTGTAATGCTTTGGCACAAAGACGGTGTCAGAAGCAGGAGGCCGGACTTCATGGACAGAGAAAACAAGGAGTCTGACTAGATTTCAATGAAAGAGTTCATAAAAACCATCTCTAAAAATAAATAAATAAATAGTAAAAATGACAAAAGAGTTGTTTTTCTTATTAATTGAAGTTTTAATTATTTTGTCACTCTGTTTGGAATCAACATAATATAGAATAACAAGCTTTAGTTAGATCTAAATCATTTAGAATTTTGGCCGGTAAAAAATATGCTTGGCCGGTAGATTTTCATCACCAGCCAACTTGGCCGGTGAGTAAAAAATTTAATTGCGGACCCTGGCTCTATACCATTAGGGGGGTCTTGGAGGTTGCGTGGGAATTTGCCCAACCAATCTACGTGTGTTTTGTAGATTTGGAGAAGGCGTTCGACCACGTCCCTTGAGGGGCCCTGTGACAGGAATTTCGGGAGTATGTGGTACCAAGCTCTTTTAGAAGGGCTGTTGGGTCCTTGTATGACCGGTGTCAGAGCTTGGTCCACATTGCCAGAAGTAAGTCGAGCTCGTTCCCGATGAGAGTTGGATTTTGCCAAGGCTGCCTTTTGTCACCGATTCTATTCATAACTGTTTAAGGACAGAATTTCAAGGTGAAACAAAGGTGTTGAGGGGATCCGTTTTGGTAGTCAAAGGATCAGGTCAATGCTTTTTGCAGATGATGTGGTCCTGTTGGCTTCATCAAAATGTAATCTATAGCTTTCACTGGAGCGGTTTGCAGCCTAGTGTGAAGCAGCTATGATGAGAATCAACTCCTCTAAATTTGAGACCATGGTCTTGAGTTGGAAAAAGGTAGAATGCCTTCTCCAGGTCAGGGACGAGGTCCTGCCACAACTGTGGGAGTTCAGGTATTTTGGGGTCTTAATCATGAGTGAGGGAAAGATGGAGCGCAAGATCGATAGGTGGATTGGTCCTGTGTCTGGTAAGTCGCCTGCATCACTGCAGTCTGTCGTGGTGAAGAAGTAGCTTTAACAGAAGGCAAACCTCTCGATTTACTGGTCAATCTAAGTTCCAACCTTCACCTATTTGGGGGGATTGCTGCTGCTGCTGTTTGGATCGCTGGCTGTAATGCACATAGCACACAAGCTTGCAGTATAAAGAAGGACAACACCTGTACCCCTCCAGCTCAGCTGTGTGACTGCACTAACTGTCCTGTGGGACCCTCACCATGTAACCCTCATGTCCATGCTGTCTCTGGAGGAGAAACACGATCTCCTGTAACTTAAAATGAACCAAAGCTTCCTCCCAGTTTCTCTTTAGCTGAATTTAACATCAGTTTATCATCATGAAACAAAAGAATAAAGTGGAACAAAAACTTCCATTTCTCTCTTTTTTAACTTCCCCGTGTCCCTAAATAAAAGAGGCAGATGATTATGCTGCAGCCGCCGTCACTGACCCCGCCCCCTCCCCAAGACCGGATCTCCCGACATCACAGCACTCGGTGAGCAGACAATCTCCCTCTCTCTCAGTCGCTGAACGAGCGTGCGGAGAGCGCAACGTGACAACCCGCTCAATTAACATAATTCACGGCCCAAATCCAACAGAACCGATCAGGCTGATTCGGTTCGGGTTTGGTCTCAGGTTATAACTCCAGCGCTCAGCCCTGCAGTACCACATAAAGGCAGACCAAAGTTTTCCTACCTGGTAAATGTGAAGAACACCGCTCTGACAGATGTGGCTGCTGCGCTGGTGTCGCCGTTAAAATAACAAAACCACATTCCAATAGAATTGACTATGGTACTCTTCTATGATGCTGAATCATTTCTGCCCGCATCTCATGCATTGATTATTTGATTATTTTCCTCAGCTCTATACACCTCCCGGTCGGCCGTCGGGGATGGGGGTTGCGCGCGGAGTTTGGTGGCCACAAAAAGGGGGCTCGCAGACCGGATGTGGCCCGCGAGCCTCGAGTATCACTGACCTATGGACACCAGCTTTCGGTAGTGACTGACTGAAAGAATGAGGTCGCGGATACAAGCAGCCAAAATGAGTTTTCGCCGCAGGGAGTCTGGGCTCTCTCTTAGAAATTAGGCAAGAAGCTCGGTCATGAGGGAGGGGCTCGGAGTAGATCCGCTCCTCCTCTACATCGAGAGGAGCCAGTTCATGTGGCTCGGGCAGCAGGATGCCTCCTGGACGCCTCCCTGGTGGTGGTCGGAGCAACCGGTGGCGCCGGTGCTTGGCAGCATCGCCCAGTGTGCCCCAGGGCAGCTGTAGCTACATCGTAGCTCATCCCCACCAGCGTGTGAATGGGGGGTTGTAGAACCCTAAGAAGGCACTATACAAATACAGGTAATTTACCATTTATAAAATACCAAGAACAAGAACTCTAAGTTTGACACGTTTACGTTTCCTTGTTTAAGCTGTTGCTTTTCAGAACAGTGGAAAATATCTTGTATAATGTGATGGGTAGGCTTAAATAAGTGAAACTTTAGTCATGAACACTGAGCACGTGTACTGGCTCTTACACAAGGAATCAGGATCAGCATTTGTGATTATCTTGCCTGTTTTTTTTATTATTTTCATTTATTTTTTCTTTTCCTCTGACTGACCGACACAATGTTATGACCCAATAAATGAATAAACATTAAAACTGTGGACTTTGCTGTCACACAGTGACTTTACAGGCTACTCCTTCAGAATGATAAAACTACATTTAGCTCAATATTTGTTTTCATTTCTATTACTAGGTCATTTAAAAATAAAACCAACGGCATACCGTAAAAATATGTAAAATCTCAAATATGACAAAATCGATGTCCTTACCCGAGTTAAACTTTGTTGTAGGACAATGGCGATGGCCTGAAATCTTCGGTTGCTGTCTGCTAAGAGCTGTTTGAGCTGCTGGATGTTCTGGTTGCTCCTCTCACCCTGCAGGTCATTTGCCTGAATCCCATCCCGTGATCCAGATCTGTGGGTTGGTCCCTGTTGAGACTTCTCTTGGCGAGAACTGGTTTTGGACTTCTTGTGCACTGGAACAGAGCTTGGGTTGAGTGCTGTGACAACACTAAGCATCAGTAAACTGTTCTCCATAAGCTCTACATAAAGACAACGCCTTCCAAAGAACCCCTTCTGCCAGGTTATCATGTGAAACAAAGCTCTGCAGCCAAAGAGTTCAGTCTAACCAGCCAGTCTGATGGTTCCCAGATGCACTTAGTTTTCCATTTCCTAATTGAATCCAATCCTCTGCAGGTTCTAGCCACCGAGGACCGCTGGTCTTAGCGAGGCTGTGCATCAGCAACTTTCATTTACAACTGCTTTATAAATACATCAGTGATATATGATAGGTACCATCACAGTAAAAACATTTTTATCAACACAGCAAAGAACATAAACAACACACCAGCAGGTGATAGACATTCAGAGCTCCCTTGTTGTCACAGATATTAGCAGAACTGTGACGTCAGTGAGAAACCTGATGATTTCAGCTCTAACGATTTACTTAAGCGCTCCTCTTCAATGGATGAGCTACAAAGCGGAAAAAAGACTATGTTAGCTGGATACATTTGTGAACACAAGTTATTTTTGTGTATTTTTGGTTTTAGGTGCCTTCCTCCGTTTGAGTATTGTATTATCAGGTTACAAAGTTAATTAAAAGTTGTTTAATAACGGTGTTGCCAACTCAGCGACTTTGTCGCTGTTCCTAATGAGTTTTTGACCCCCTCAATTACTTTTTTCCAAAAAGCGCCTAGCGACAACCCTAGCGACATTTCTCTCGACCCGTTGCTACTTTCTGTAGAACTTTCTTGTAGATATTCCCTACAGATTAGCAATAAAGAAACCATTTGCACTCTGAACCGTTCATCTGGGAGTAAGGAAAGAGAACGATAATCTGCACATGACTGACCAATCATAAACCGTTTTCGGCCGGGCCAAAGACAAAGGTGCAGTTGCAGAGCTGGAGACCGCCGATTAACGTCTAGCAGGCTCACGCTTCTACTAGAGACGGCGCAGGCATCAACCTGCGATCTCCGGTTCTGCAGCCGTCAGACACTTTGGCTTTTCCTGCATTTGGCAAATAAAGTCAACGGGAGTTTCAACTACCGTCCCGTTTACACACGCAGCTCTGTGGCTCATCTGAATTTCCTTCAGTGACACAGGGATGGTTATACTATGAGACACCCGCTCCCTTTTGCTCGGTGCACCGTTATTATCACGATGGAGAGAAAACACAACAGAGAAGTTGTGAAACTATGAGGTGTAAAAAAAACAGCTTTTTAGGAAAATGTCTGTAAGAATGAGGAGAGCAGGAGGTCTGAGTTATATCCTACAACAGAACTGTTTGGATCACCACACCATATCGGTCTTAATGTCACTTTATTTATACTTTTGGAATTTATTTTATATATCAAAGCAATTTGGACCATTTTAATCATACTAATTAATAACTTTAACACATAAAATAGTTTTTGTTATTTTCCTCCCTTTTAGTCCTAAAAAGACCAACTTGTTTTAAAAATCTTCAGTATACATATGTGTATATATCTCTTTTAGATGCTATGGGGAAAATGAACGCCAATGTGGCGTGACAACGTCATTAATATGCAAATTGGCACGTGACATCATCTGGCGACATCTAGCGACTTTGGGGGGAACTTCAGCTACTTTCAGTCAAAAACAGTTGGCAACACTGTTTGATACGTCATTATCTTGTCTTCATCATTAGATGGCACATAACTGATCACACTTGAAACTAGAAGCCTATGATGGGTGTATTAGAGCATCCTTGTGCAATAAGCTATACTTTTATGACAGCCCTAAACAAAAACCATGCATGAAGCTACAGCCCATGAAGAGTATTAATGGTCATATCTTTTATGAAACCCAAAACCTGGACGGCGATCAAGTGAAACTTGGAGTCAGCAGAGACCACAACACCCAAGGATAGCAGCAGCATGTTGCTGTGGAACATAATCAACCGTCTACGTTTATTTAGAGCTGAAGCTTCACCACACTCAGGTCATTAAAGCCAACATGAAGGCCTGTGCCATTTTACTTTAATAAAAGGGAGAAATCAGACCATCGAGCAAAATTAGAAGGCTAGTTTATGAGACTCTAGCAGAGAGGAGTAAATAATCCTGGTTATTGAGACCAGCAAAGTGAAGTTTGAGCCTGGATGACAGCAGGTCAGTAAAGAGTTTACAGATCTGCTCTTATTTCCTTCTGCGAGACACTAATGTGGGCTGTTAAGAGAAAAACAACTTTACGTTGCTGAGTTGTTTGATAATCTTGACATATTGTAACTGTTAGCTCAGTCGGACGGATAAAAAAGGACCCAATAATAACTAATTTAGCCATTTCTATTCAGTACATACCAGTAAATAGGCCTGGGACAATAACAAATTTTACTGGGCGACATATTGTCCAACAAATTATTGACGATAAACGATATTATTGTCGACATTATTGAGACCAAAATAACCACTTATGTAATGTTAATATATTATAATAATAATGCAAGTACACCCTTTAAAATGCAACAATTAAACCTTCATTGAACATCGGAATTTCATGAGCCAGAACTTTTAAGTAAATAAATAAAACAAACAAGAAAAATTAAATAAAAAAGCACTCTGTTAGAAAATTTTGCACCAAAAGTAAAATAGGCCTCATCTTTTCAAAACAATAAATTCAATGGTCTATCCAGTGTCCAAAACTACATTTTAATAATGATAAATAATAATAAAAGAGTTGTACATTTCTTAACCTCAATATATTCAGGCTGGAAAAATTATTGAGTTCATTTTCATCTATCGTACAATTAATTGATTTATTGACTACCGTCCCAGCCCTACTAGCAACAGAGTCATTTATTGGTCTTCACATGTTGACATGTACTTTTAAACCATGAAAATGAAACACCCTCAACACAAAAAATGTGTTTTTGAATCAGATAAGGGATCCCTTTTAAAAAGGATCAAAATCTTCTCCGCAAACATGATCAAATGAAGAATCTTACCAGCTCTTGGTGTAACTGGTCCAGCAGGTTTACAGTGAGGGCTATTTTTCTCAAGGCTGCCTGGAGGACGTGGAGCTCCTTTGCTTGTGGAAGGTGCAGATCTGCATGGTGAAGTCAGAGCTGAGACAAGAAGATGATCCAGGTAAGAAAACAGACTTGAACAAACCCCGACCCATAGTAAAGCACTGGTCAGTAACCACTGAGACGAGGGAGTTACGAAGATGAGATCAATCATCAGATTAGTCATCTTGAGGGTTTACGTGTTTAAATGTCATTTGGGAAGCATTTAAATAATGGAAACGTACATTAAAGTCGCAGTCTTGTGAAGGCCCTGAACAAGTCAGAAATGACTAAAACGACTCATGTTTATTATATTTACATGCAAAGATAAAAAATAAATCACATTTAAACTATAGCTACTCTGTTTCGCCATCATTTGAGCTGGTGTATTATTTATTCTGTCTAACTTGATTTATTCAGGCATCCTGTAGTTACTTATTAAAAGTTTGCAGAAACAGGTGATTGTTTAGTTTCTAGCCTATACCGCCCTCTGCTGGTCATGCAAATAGCACCTCTAACAGAGCAGAACACGCAGGTAGTCTCTGGACATGCTGGACTAAGGAACAAATACAAATAATTAATCTGTAAAAAAAAATTAATGAAATCACATCAAATATGTTGTTTGTGTCCATTCTTTATTTTTATTACAGTATAGGTTATTTTAAGGTTGATTTAAATGATATTCAGATTGGTAGCACTAATCTGCTTCCAGTGTGGGCATTTTGATTTTACTGCCGACATTAATTCACGTGGACACCACTTTGACTACGACTGACAGGAAGACGGACAAGCTGAGATGAGGACAAGGACTGATAATTCACAACCTATATAATAATTATTTAAGCCGCCCATTCGTTTCTTCTGCTGTGTGTAGATGAACTTAATATTTAAACATTAGCAAACACAATCTAGGACTACGTCAGTCTGGCTTTTGTAAACACAAAGAGACGTTGTGTCCATAAGGACACAGGTCATCACTTTCCAAAGGCCTTCCCAATCACATCAGCCCTAACCCTAACTATGGTTTCATCCGAAGGATCCAGACAAAGCTGTACCGAGCTTCTGTTACAGACGTTCTGAACCTGAACAGATCCAGAGTAAGACTCAACACTGTGCTCCGCTTGCTCCAACAGAGATCACGTCACAGCACGAAGCATGAAGACGTCACAATCAGACACTTGTTATTGAGCTCTGGAGCTGCAACCACACAAAGTAGTTCTCTGTATGGGAGAAGAATTACAACATTTGTGTAAAATCTGTGTTTCGCTTCTCTAAACAAGTCAAACTCTAAAAAATAAATAGATTTAGCTCATTTTAAACACATTTATTAAGCAAATAAGTATTTTTTGTATATTTAAGTTTCACTTTAAATACATGATTGGAGTGAAACTGGATGACTGATGAATAAAATAAAGCCACAAAAATAACCGCAGCAGGCCAGCATGACGTACAGAGTGATATGCGTTTAAGCTGTTTCTAGTTTGTAATCACATCAGAAAACTCGACCGCAGAGAGCCAGAGGTTGTGGAAACTGAGAAGGTAAATGAAACCTGAGCTGTGTTGCCACCATTGAAGCTTCACCAAACAGCTTCCAGAAACATTCTGATTTTAAACTAATGAGTGGCTTTGACCCAGAAGCCTTTAGGATGTAAATAAGTGACAGACCTGTTTGAAACACCAGAGTGCTCTTCCTGCATCCTGACAGCAGCTGAATGTTTCGCAGTAAGTCTTTGGCTGTCAGACGCACACGGATGTTTGACAGGGAGAGCTTTGGAGACCATAACATGGCTCAAGACAAAGTTAAAGAAAACGTCTATAGCTTCTTGAATCAAAACAGGTGTTCTAATGTAGACGCGTCATGGCAGAGCCACACATCCAAAGCCTCATGAGACTGATAAGAAAAGGTCAAATAAACGCAGATTCATAGAAATAGTTTTTTCCAGAGACAGCCAGGTCAGCATAACAAGTCTCCAACTATTGAACTCCCTGCCAAGTAGAACATGAAAGCAATATAAAAGGTTGTCAGATGGTCGTAGCAGCTCATTGCATGCAGCTGAGAAAAATTAAAAACCAAAATCCCCTTAATCCTCGTGGAATACCAGGCTCCGGCCATGTGTCAAAGCATCAAGTCCCACTGCAGACTGGAGCCGCGTTCCCAAGCCTGATGGTGGTGGTACTGAAGCAGAGCCAGGATGGATGCAAAGGGAGTGTGTGTGTGTGTGTGTGTGTGTGTGTGTGTGTGTGTGTCTTACAGAATAAGCACTGCCAATGGAAAATCCATCTAACCAAAATGATTCTGTCCTCTTGTGTCACCATCATTGGGATGGCATTGCCTGGGGCAAGGTTAGGTCTGGTACATAAAATGAAAATGTTTCTGCTGAAGGTTGGTGAAACTGTTCTACACCGTTACAGCAGCAACATCAAAACTGCTTTTCAGTCCATCGGTCCCAGCGTGCTCTCTATTATTAATGCTTCTCTGGTTTCTGGTCAGGTCCCTGCTTACTTTAAGAACGCTGTAATCCACCCAATCCTTAAAAAACGAGTCTCGACCCCTCTCTCCATAGCAGCTTCAGACCCATCTCTAAACTTGCGTTCATCTTCAAGATCTTGGAAAAGGTTGTGGCTAAAAAACTCACAGCTGCTCTTGATGAACATAACATCTAGGATAGCTTCCAGTCAGGTTTTCGTAGAGCTCATTCTACTGAAACAGCTCTTCTTAGGGTATCTAATGACCTTCTGACTCACAGTGATGCAGGGGACTGTTCTGTTCTGGTCCTGCTGGACCTGACTGCAACCTTTGACACTGTTGACCATCACCTGCTACTGGAGAGGCTGAGAGACTGGGTAGGCCTATCAGGATCTGCTCTGGAGTGGTTCTACTCTCGTCTGTCTGAGCGTTCTGTGGCCATCACCTCCCTCACCCATGGTGTCCCGCAAGATTCTGTGCTGGGACCTCTACTTTTCCTCCATCGGCTTCCTCTTCAGCACATCCTGAGCTCATTTAAAATAATCTCCTACCATCTTTATGCAGATGACATCCAACTGTACATCTCCTTTAAGCCCCATGAGATGTCTAAGCTGCAGCTGTTACACACCTGCTTAGACTCTATCAAAACCTGGATGGTGGGAGCTTTCTACAGCTGAATGAAGATAAGACTGAGATCCTCATCTGTGCCCCAGACGAGCTGGTTCCCAAAGTCAGAGACTCTCTTGGTCAGCTTGCTTCTCACACCAAACCTTCCGTCAGGAATCTTGGTGACCTTTGACCCAGCTCTCACCCTGGATTCTCATGACAGTTCTCTTGTTCGCTCTTCCTTCTTCCATCTCAGGAACGTTGCTAATCTGAGTCCCATTCTGTCCCGCTCTGAACTTGAGACAGTTCTCCACACCTTCATCTCCTCACGCTTAGACTACTGTAACTCTCTTTTCACGTGTCTGAGCAGAACCTCCCTGAACCGTCTACAGGTGGTTCAGAACGCCTGTGCTCGGCTTCTGACCAAGTCCTCCAAACACACCCACATCACCCTGCTTCTCCTCCAGCTTCACTGGCTGCCAGTCAACTTCAGGGTTCATTTCAAGATCCTGGTTCTGGTCTATAGGGCCTTACATGCACAAGCACCATCTTACATTGGTGATCTTCTTAGTCCCTACACCCCCAGCAGGTCCCTGAGGTCCAGTGATCAAAACCTACTGGTTGTGCAGCACCAGGCTAAAGACCAAAGGTGACAGATCATTTGCTGCTGTGGCCCCCAGACTCTGGACCTCTCTCCCCCTGAGCCTGAGATCAGTGGACTCAGTGGTCTCCTTTAACCTGTTCACCTGTTCAGGCTGGCTTTTTTGTGACCATCGGCTGAATCTTCATCACTACCTCCTCCTCCTCATTCATCTCTTTCAAGGAAAAAAGTTTTGGAACCACTGGTCTATACGATGAATATTCTATTCCTCTAAACACAGGGTATCTGCAGGTTTAAGGGAGCCAAATTTAAGACTTTTTAAGACCCTTTTTAAGGCCACTTTGACCAAATTTAAGCTATTTTTAAAATTAAATTTAAGCTATAATTTCCAGCTATTGCCTGGAACCGGTGCTAACCACGTCGCGAACGTGGGATTAGCCATCCAGTTACCATTAAACTTGCACTTCCCCATGGCGCAAGCTCCCACTAGCTTAACCAGCTAATATGCTCATCTAAAAATAGCCCCCTTTCACAACCAGCTGAATGTGTACGGTTCCACTTACGCCAACATCACACACATAAAATGCTGAACACTAACTAGAAATTCACGAAAATTTCATAGTAATAAAAGAATTTTGTTTATTGGGTTTTTGGAGATTTAAGACCTTTGGAAACTGCATTTAAGGAATATTTGTCATTTTTAAGGATTTTTAAGGCCTTAAATTTGGAAAAGCAAATTTAAGACTTTTTAAGACTTTTTAAGGACCTGCGGATACCCTGTAAACAGCCATCAGGAAGCCATCTACAACAGGGAAAGATAGTAATCTTAATCTAAAACTGTAACTAATGTTAAAGGTGAAGAGCTCAGTCAGTTGGATTTAAAAAAGCCCCAAATAAGAATCATAACTATTTTAGCCATTTTTATTCAGTACACACTAGTAATTGTGTCATTTACTGGCCTTCACACCACAAACATTTGAAAAACCTGAAAACGAAACACCCTTAAAATGTGTATTTGAATCAGACTAAGGGTTTATCTATTTAAAAAGGAGCAAAGTCTTCTCAGCAAACACAAAGAAATGAAGAATCTTACCAGTTCTAGGTGTAGTTGGTCCAGCAGGTTTACAATGAGTTATCCGTTTCTCAAGACTAACTGTAGGATGTGAGGCTCCTTTGCTTGAGGAAGGTGCAGGTCTGCATGGTGACGTCAAAGCTGAGACCACAAGAAGATCCAAGTGAGAAAACAGACTGAAAATAACCCAAACCATAAAAAAGCATAGATCAGTACCTACTGCGACTTGAAGGAAGTTGAAACGATTAATCATTAGATTAGTCATCTTGAGGGTTTACATTTTTAAATGACAGTTAAGGATTTGGTGTCTCAGCCTTGTGGAGGTCAAGAACAAGTCAGAAAATATTAAAAATATTCATGTTTACTGTGATTAGTCACCCATTCCCTAATTTTTAACAATCCTGGAAAATGAGTTAAATATGAAATACATATCCATAGTCAGTACCAATTCTGAGAAAAGACAACAAAGCCTGCAATAATGGAAGCATCCGAGGAAATAGTTAACACATTAGATGAAGGAAAATTTGCGATTTGAGTATTTATAGATTTTAAGAAAGCATTTCACACAGTAAATTCATACAGCCCCCCCCCCCCACACACACACACCCCGCCCCCCCCCAAACCTGGGTCTTTTTTTTCAGTGGCCCTCGGACCCAGACGGGCCGTGTCCAGGGAGTGGCCTGGGGTAAGTAAGTAAAGTTTATTTATAGAGCGCCTTTTACAGATAAATCACAAAGCGCTGTACAACACGAGTAAAATCAGGGCAAATACCTCAAACCAATAAAAACATCATAAAAACAATAGCAGTGACAGCAATAGTAACCAAAATCAGGAGTAAAAACAAAGTGAAGGTGTGAACAAGAACAAAGCCATCTTTTAGGATATTTAGCGGGGGAAAGCCTGGATGAAAAGGTGAGTTTTAAGATGTTTTTTAAAGACCTCGTCAGATCTCAAGAGACGGAGATTTGAAGGTAGACTGTTCCAAAGTCTGGGGGCAATAGACTGAAAGGCCCCGTCCCCTTTGGTTTTTAGTCTGGTTCGAGGAACAGCCAGGAGGTTTTCAGATGTGGATCGGAGGTTCCGTGAAGTGGGGTGGCACATGCCACCCTTGGAATCTGACTGGCCACCCCAGGTGCCACCACACTAATTTACCTTTGAATAGGCTTTTCATTGTCCACAAAAGGCTTGGGGGTACAACAAAAAAAGCATAACCATTGGTGCCACCCATGCACAAAGCTGTGCCTCACCTGGGCCACCCCATTTTAAAAGATCTGGACACGCCACTGGACCCAGAGCTGTAGAGAGAGAGAGTTGCGGCACTTCAATAGACTTCTATTGAAAGAATGGAATGTGGAAGTCACGTGGCTCGTGTAGCTTCGAATAGTTCCAAACAGCCCCGCTGCTGCATTGACCACAGTTAATTTTTGGTTTTTCGGAAGGATTTTCTCCGTTAAGTTGATCAAATGTCATCATTGTTTTTTGCATTGTGAAGCGTTAGCTAACCGCTTCGTACCAAAATAAGCCAACGATGAGATTTTATGTTGCCAGTTTAAGCTAAATAACCTTTAATGAGCCAATTGTGTGCAGCTTGTTGATTTTGAGCAGGAGGGTTTAGACAAGCTTCACGAGCTGCAGACGGGTTTATTTCAGTTTGTTTGATTCTACGTTTAAAAAATATTCCCCACAGTTTAAATAGGTTATAAACTTTTTACATTATTAGTTTTATTTGGGATTTCTTGTACAATACGTTGCTGTATCAACACGAACATGCATCAGAAATGGAAGCACAAATGGAGAGACCAATAATAAAGAAAATGTGATTGAGAAGACAATTATTTAACATTTTTCAGTTAACAACACTGACTGCAACGAACTGCTGAAGCATGAGAAAAACAGGATTACAAACGTGAGAAAATATGTTGTTCTGTTTTGTGGACTCAAGTAATAAGAATAGAATTAAGATAGTTCAAGAACAGTAGTTGAACAATAACTTAAAAATGAGACATTTTCCATGAAAATGCTCATTTCCACTTGCTTTATAATATTAGCATTTGCTATTTTGTTAATAAGGAATGACAAGAAATAAGAATTAACAATAACACAATTATCAATAAATAAATGTCAAAGAGTTACTAAAACAAACATCTTATGTAACCATTAAAGGTTAAACTGTGTTGTGTGTCCATCTTCATGTTTTCATCGTGGCTGAGTGGAGAGCTGACCAGGAACAACGGTGGTGGCAAATCCCAGTTGGGTCTGTGATGGAGTGATGCACGCCTGGAGTGATTGCCATCTCATCCACAGTGAGCACACACTCTCTTTCCATCTCTGTCATATTTTTAACCTTCAAACTGGGCATGTCACACACCTCTCCTAACACACCTGGCTCCTGTTAATGGGCTGCATTTGTCTGTGCAGGTTCTAACATCAGGCAGAGGGATACTCATGTCCTGAAGAAACCTGCAGCCTGTTGAACCCACTGAAAAACAGTTGTACGGCCTTTTTGATCGTCTGTTTCCTCCCTTAGGTTTTCCAGCTGGGTTCCCTGCTTGCATGGCCTGTTCCTTTCTCCTCCTGGCCCTGACGCCGGCTCCTCATGGCTTCCTGGGATGTCCCTCTCTCCTGATACCATCTCATGTCCTCCCCTCGCTTTCCCCCATCTCATTTGCCTCACTGCTGCTGCTGCTTTCCTCATTCTCTGAATTTATAATGGCACTGTTAGAATAAAGAATCATTTTAAAATGAAATAAACACAAATGTCTAATATTTCTAAACATTCGTACCACCGTTTACTTGAGTACAACATGTGTGGTCACAGGTCAGTGGACCAACATGCAGTGGTTCTGCTGTACTTCTCACTGCGGGGTCCTTCCTCCTCCTTGGTTCAGGGCGATGAACAAACACAGCATCAGCCCTGAGTCTCACCTTGCCTTGCCTAGTCTTAGTAAACTGTCCCTCCTCTACATGTGCCAGAGTGGTGTATTAGTTTATTTCCTGCCACATTTAACAGTTTAATTGCAGCCTTGTGCAGCTGAGAGCAGAACATGTAGAGCCTTGATAGAAAACATGTGAGAGTGCACGTTAAACTCACTGCACACAGCTTTTTGTTATTGTGATCTCTGGTCATGGTGAGGTTGCTCCTGCTGACTCGAGCCAACCATTTTCTTCTTCTCTCTGCGTCTTTGGGTAATCCATAATTCTGATTCCTCCCTCAGACCGATTGCTATATGCAGCGCAGCCAACCATGTAAGCTTATCTACCTATAAAGGGATTATTAAAATACTGTTTTTGTACATATAGAAATATTGAACTAAACCAAAAATATAGAGATGTAAAATTGAATTTTAAGATTTTATCAACCCTAAAATTAGTCATTTCAAATTTTAACCCACAGACACATTTTATTTTAATAATAATCAAAATAAAGTTATTCAAAAGAGTTTCATTAGGTCTTGAGTACATTGCTCATAATTAATGATTCAGCTTATTTGTGCATATGTAATGACTAAACATAATGTTGGTAAAATGCTTTATTAAAAATGCTATTATACATGTTGTACAAGTTTGGTGTTCATTTTTTCACAGTTAACACTTTTTTATCTACTGTGATGAACCATACAGTTTTACTGAAGTTTTCTTTGTAATTAGTTGCTATAGAAACCAGATAAACTGGGTTATAGATGCATGTGCTGTCTTCACAAAAACATAAAGTAATGATTGTAAAATGTTTTCTACTGAACAAAATAGATCATCATTCAAAGCATAAACAGCTTCATGTTTTCTTCAAGGTACGCTGGAGCAGAGTTCTAGCTTTCAATAAACACTTTAAAATGGATATTACAACTCGACTTTAGGGCTTCTTGTAGGACTTAGTTATTAAATTTGCTTATATTAGAGCAGCGTGTTGCATTACTACATCAAATTTATTGCTATAATGTGGTCTAAATGTGTTCTACAGTGTGTTAGGACTGTCGTATTCCTGTAATGTAGAACAGTCACGGGTGTCTGTCTTCCTACAAATGCTCGGAAAATAAATAAATAAATACGCTACTTTGTGAAGGAATTGGGACATAATATATAATATAATACAGGGGTGGGCAATCCTTGTCCTCGAGGGCCGCTATCCAGCAGGTTTTATTGTTTACCTGCCCCAACACACCTGATTCCTGGATGAACCACCTGTTCAGCAGCTCATCAGGCTCTGCAGCAGCCTGTTAAAAACTATTAGATTCAAACCAGGTGTGTTTAAGCAGAGAAACAAGTAAAGCCTGCTGGACAGCGGCCCTCGAGGACTGGGATTGCCCACCCCTGATATAATATATAATATTATTCAATAATTACCAAAAATAGCCAGGGGAAATGTGGCAATATTCAAATTTTGTGATTTGACCCACCATACGCCGTTCGAACTGACTTACGGCGCTGGGATGTTGGGAATTATTGAGAGCTCCATGAACCACGTGACCACGAGTCGGCGAGTTCAAAGCATGTCGCAACTCTCTTTCTACAGCTCTGCTCGGACCATTATAATTGAGAACCCGTGATGTATTCAATGCTCCTTGCAAAATTTAGGACATACCAGATAAACTATGGAGTACTTAATATAACTGTCTCTCTTTTTTTTTTAAACAAATGAGAGACATGCCAGGAAAGACACATTTCATATTCAGCCATCAAATGGATACAATGCAAACTGAAGCTACTGGTCCAGTTGCATTCTTGACGTAATGAACGAACCACTGGTTCAGGTCTTTGAATACATGCAATCAAAAATATTTACACATTATTCTACCTGGCCGTCTCTCGTATCCTCTAACAGACTCATTAATTTCACTCCTGGGGCACTGGAAGAAGCGCCCATGAGCTGAAGCCAAACAACCAATCACATCTGGTTGCTAGGAAGAAGTGTGGAGTTTTAGGCCAATTAGCATCAATGAGGTTATCATCTTTAGGGTGCTGGCTGATAGCATCCCTGCTGCAAGAAAGAGCTAGCCAACATGCTAGCTGAAGGTGCTGTATCTCCCTCCCTTCCCTCCTCATGCACACACAGCTGATGTACATAGATGGAGCTGAAATCGTACCTGTAGCTGCTGCAGTAAAATGTTTATATTTGTTCTCATTTTATGGCATTTTACGTTCAGAACTGAATGTCTAATTCAGTTTCTATAATAAAATCCACATAATGGTTAAACTAAGTATTGCACTTTGAGGTGTGCATGCTTTACTTTGCACTGCTTGAGACAGACTGTTGGAGACTGAAATCTGAAGCTGGAAAACACCAAGGTCAAAATAAAATGTACATTATGAACAAAAGTTGCTCAGACAGTAGGCTTGTGTATTTATTTGATTATTATTAGTCTCATTTATCTGTAAATTGGATAATTTACTATCTGTAAAACTGCAGATTTGGAGAAGGGAAGTAAATAACTGTTATGGAATTGTAGTCTAAACTGTTTGTTTTAATATTTATAATGAACTAAAGAAAATCCTTCCACACATAGCTCCACCAAGAATTATTTTCACCAGCCGCCACTGACACTATCAGATTATAAAGAAAAAATTCTAGACTGATCTGTAACAAACAGTTTCTAATCAGGCACTGACACTTAAAAAATGTATTTCAATATGTGAAAGCATGTCACCATAACCAATTTCCATCAGCGGTTCAAGGCTACATTTAAGCAGAGCAGAGGCAACCCCCACATGAAACTAGATAAATATATTTGTACAAATAAAATAAATAATCTGATCATTATATTTAACTACTAGCAGATCAAATATAATAAATGCTCTAAAGAAATAGACTGCAGAGAGGCAGACATTTATTTGTGTTTAACGTAAAACATTTTTAAATCTGCTAAAATTTTTTATCTATTAGTAATTAACCCTCTCACTTGTCCAAAGGTCTTCATCTCGTCCATTAATCACAGCTAACAAAGGGATGATACAGAAGCGATAAGATCCAATGAGCAGGCAGGTCAACAGTGTGAGATCACAGCTTGATGATGTACTGCCTGGTGCGAGTAAGGAAGAGTTACTGAAAACGTGAACTGGAGGTTCAGTCCAGGTGCAGCTTCGAAGTCCAGTGTAGCCAGCCATCCTTTTTCCAGTGAAACATGAAGAGGTTGCTCTTTTTAATCCACATCAGACATCAGATGAACTATGTCTGCCTTCACACCTCCAGGCTGTGTGTTAAGTAGAGTGGAACAAAGACTGTTGCCATAACAACAAGAGGGAGGGAGGATACTCAGCGTAGAAAACAGGTCTTCAAAGCCAATCACAGACCTGCATCATTGATTATTTATTTCTATGTGATATGAAGGGAATACAACTATTTACAAAAGCCTAAAACTGAGTCGGAGGCTTTAATGTGGGCTGATATCAGAGATGGGTTCTGATGTTGCATTTTAAATAGTTTTACCGAGAGGTTTCTGACGGTCTTGACATATAACTAATACAAGCCACATTTACCAATGGTAATCATTAACTATTTTATCCATTTCTAATCAGTACATACCAGCAAATGTGTCAGTCATTGGTCTTCACGCTTTGATTATTTTGAAAACATAAAAGTGAAACACCCTCAACACACAAAATTTGTATTTGCAGCAGACAAATGGATCATCTATTTAAAAGGAACAAAATCTCTTCCAGAAACATGGTAAAAAGCAGAATCTTACCACTTCTGGGTGTAACTGGTCCAACAGGTTTACAGCAAGGATTCCTTTTCTCAAGACTGACAGTAGGATGTGAATCTCCTTTGCTTGTGGAAGGTGCAGGTCCGCATGATGAAGTCAGAGCTGAGACTAGAAGAAGATCCAAGTGAGTAATCAGACTGGAAGTAACTCGACCTATAATGAAGCACTGAGCAGTGACCACACAGACATGGAGGGAGTTATAAAGACAATTGTATCAATTTAATAATTGATCATATCTGGATGATCCCACTACCACTAGGGGGCACACTTTGGACCTGGTCATCTCCCAACACTACCTAGATCAATCTAAAGGTAAAAAATCTGGAGGTGTCTCACCATAAGGTTGTTTTCATGGAGTTTTTCCATCTTTCTCACCTGACTAAACCCAAGCACCATGCCTCCATCAGAAAATTAAAAACATTAAGCCAATAGCTCTGACTGGTGACCTTCATCTTTTCTTCATACAAACATCTCAGTGGACTTCCACAACAATAGTAATTAGCATCTGTGACATTCACATCCCATTTAAGACCACAACATTCACCTTCACCTGCTCAGCTCCCTTCGCCTAGCATACCATCTTTGTTATATTGCAGCCATTAGCTAAAATTAATTTTTTCCCTTCAATGTACACACAGCACTCCATACTGACAGAAAAACACAATTGTAGAAATGTATTAAAAAATAAATAAATATCACATGGTCCTAAGTATTCAGACCTTTTGTTCAGTATTTAGCGGAAGCACCTTTTGAGCCAATACAGTCACGAGTCTTCTTGATAAAGATGCAACAAGTCTCTTACACCTGAATTTAGGGATCCTCTGCCTTTCCTCCTTGCAGATCCTCTCCAGTTCTTCAGGTTGGATGGTGAACATTGGTGGACATACATGTATAGGTCTCTCCAGAGAACTGGGTTTGAGTTAGGGCTCTGGCTGGGCCATTCAAGAAGAGTCACAGAGTTGCTGTGAAGCTACTCCTTTGTTATGTTAGCTGTGTGCGTAGGGTCATTGCCATGTTGGAGGGTACACCTTCGGCCCACTCTGAGGTCCTGAGCACTCTGGAGAAGGTTCTTGTCCAGGATATCCCTGTATTTGCCCATATTCATCATTCCCTCGATTGCAACTGGTCATCCTGTCCCTGCAGTTGAAAAACACCCACAGCATGATGCTGCCACTGCCGTGCTTCTCTGTTGGGACTGTATTGGACAAGTGATGAGCAGTGGCTGGTTTTGTCCACACATACCGCTTAGAATTAAGGCCAAAAAGTTCTATCTTGGTCTTATCAGACCAGAGAATCTTATTTCTCACCATCTTGGGGTCCTTCAGGTGTCTTTTAGCAACCTCCATGGGGGCTTTCATGTGTCTTACACTGAGGAGAGGCTTCCAACGACCCACTCTGCTCTTTGGGTTCTTTACCTCTCCCACCAAGGCTCTTCTCCCCCGGTAGCTCAGTTTGGCCGATGTAAAGATGGTAATTATAACTTTAATACTGATGCACACTTAAGAATGTATGGATATATATATATACACAACAAAAATATAAACGCAACACCTTTGTATCTGCTCCGATTTTTCATGAGATGGACTTAAAGATGTAAAATTCATTCCAGATACACAATATTACCATTTCTCTCAAACATTGTTCACAAATCAGTCTACATGTGTGATAGTGAGCACCTGTGCTTTGCTGAGATAACCCATCCCACCTCACAGGTGTGCCACATCAAGATGCTGATCCGACATCATGAGTAGTGCACAGGTGTACCTTATACTGCCCACAATAAAAGGCCACCCTGGAATGTGCATTTTTTTTTTTTTTTTTTTTTTTTGCTTTATTGGGGGTCTGGGGACTTAGAACCGGTCTCAGTATCTGGTGTGACCACCATTTGCCTCATGCAGTGGAACACATCTTCTTCGCATAGAGTTTATCAGATTGTCAATTGTGGCCTGTGGAATGTTGGTCCACTCCTGTTCAATGGCTGTGCAAAGTTGTTGGATATTAGTGGGAACTGGTACACGCTGTCGTATACGCCGGTCAAGCACATCCCAAACATGCTCAATGGGTGACATGTCCGGTGAGTATGCTAGCCATGCAAGAACTGGGACATTTTCAGCTTCCAAGAATTGTGTACAGATCCTTGCAACATGGGGCCGTGCTTCATCTTGCCTAAACACGAGGCGATGTTCATGGATGTACGGCACAACAATGGGCCTCAGGATCTCATCACGGTATCTCTGTGCATTAAAAATGCCATCAATAAAATGCACCTGTGTTCTTCGTCCATAACAGATGCCTGCCCATACCATAACCCTACCACCACCATGGGCCACTCGATCCACAACACTGACATCAGCAAAGCGCTCACCCACACGACGCCACACACGCCGTCTGCCATTTGCCCGGAATCAATCAATCAATCAATCAAATCAAAGATACTTTATTAACCCCAGAGGGAAATTAGAGTTTCAGTACACACAATTCAGAGATCAGACATACATGGTCAAGACACATGATAAGACTTTGTGACTGTGGTCATTCACAACCATGAGTCGCGCTACCTTAATAGAGGTTACATGAGGACTGGTTCAGGTGGAGGGGAAAAAGGCACTTCAGAGTCACCCTCCACCAGGAGGGAAGCTTTGCTCTGCAAAAAAACACCTCAAACAGATATGCAACAGACTTCAGACAACACAACATAAGTGTCCACTAGGTGGGGTGGTGGGTTGGAACTATCCCTACTTCAGTTCCTGCAGCCACAATAGAAGCAGCGCATGTCACCTCAGTGTGGTCAGGGAGAGGAGCATTGAGAGTTGTAGGGTTGCAGTGACCCTGGAACGTTTCAGCGGCCTTCCCGCAGTCCCGCCCAGGCTGGGATAGGAGTAGGGATGGGTACCTTTGACATTTGAATCGATTTGGTACTAATTCCGGTACCTAGGAATCGATGCCGGTACTTAACGGTACCAATTTTCGATACTTTTGAGTGTTTATTATTTTAATTCTCTTTTATAATTAAATATATATTTTTCTCAATATATAACAATATTTGATAAATATCACGATAAATAACATTCAACTGTTTGTATTTTAACATCGTCCTTGTAGTTTTATAAGCTGATAATTAAACTTAAGCAAACATCTTTACTGTGAACTAAATTTACTGTGTATCTTCATTCCTTTTGCCGTCTTTTTTCATTTGATTTTTCCTGCTGGGAAGTTAGAATTTCCGAGGAGAAAGCGAACGCACCATTAGCTGATAACAACGGTGGCAATGGAAGCTAACATATCAAGCTAACGTTATCTTAAACAGTTTATTTAGCTGCTGGAGCAGATTAAAACGATGATGCCTCACACTTAGATCGTTGTCACTGGTTTCATCTTAACCCAATCACCCGTTGCATTTAGTAAAGTGAAGCCAAACTTTAGAGCGCGTTCATGTTCTTCTAGTCGGAAATTCGGAGTTCCGAGGAGAAAGTGAATGCACCATTAGCAAAACGGAAGCTAACATATCAAGCTAACGTTATCTTAAACATTTTATTTACCTACCGGAGCAGATGAGTATGTCTCACTTAGATCGTTGTCGTCGGTTTCATCATCACCCAGTTACCCATCACATTTAGTGAAGTGGACCCAAGCTTTAGCGTGCATTCTTTTTACCATGCTACTCTGTTCACAACTGGCTCACAGCGAGCAACGACATAACGCTCTTGCCCATGCGCAGCTGTCTTGGCAAGTTCTCGTTATGAAGGACGGGTACCGAAACGAGGCACCGTTTGAAATGACGTGAATCGGTGCTCGGTCGTTACTATGGAATTCGGTCGGTACCTTAAAAAGTACCGAATTCGGTACCCATCCCTAGATAGGAGACAGAATTGAGTTGCCATAGCGACAGCACATTCCACATATCTTATGAGGGGGGGGGAGTTTTCGTTGGAGCCTTGCAGGCTCAAGGACGCCAGATTCTGATTAGAAATTGTTTTGGGGCCGGACAGAGATAATTTCCTCTCTGTCTTACAGTTTGTTGGTCCTCAACCTCTCAAAATCCCAATAATGGACATTAAACTATCCCAATCCATGCTGATTCATCCACTCTCTCCTTGATGGCATCCGTCTTTTGTGCCAATAATGAATCTCGGCCAAAGTCCCAAGCTTACGATTCATCTCGGCAATTTTGTGAGTCTGAATTCACAGCGCGGCGCAATCCATCTCTGAGCTCCGGGATCCGGCCAATATTCCTCGACAGCTCGTTAATTTTCCGGTAAGCCAGGTAGCCTCCAATGCCGATCAGCAGGAAACCCGACACCAACACCACGAATATCCACACATTTTCAGAGTCCTCCACAGACAGCTGGTCTGTCCCAGAGGGGCATCCAGGAGCCCCTTCTCCCATTGTCATCGTTGAAAAAATTTTATCAACCACGTTGAGTGACCTACTTTCGAGATCCATTTTATTGAATTTCAGTTTCCAGTTTCCAGAAAAAATGCAGAAGCAGCCGTGCACCCAGCACACACAGACAGACAAAGGCCTTGAGGATAAGATATGGAGGAGAGGAGAAGAAAAGCGTCTGCACCCTTCAAGAGCCAGAAGAAGAAACAATGTAAGCCGAGATTTATCCGTGAAGAGAACGCCTCTCCAACGTGCCAGACGCCATCGAATGTGAGCATTTGCCCACTCAAGTCTGTTACGATGACGAGCTGGAGTCAGGTCAAGACCCCCGATGAGGACAATGAGCATGCAGTTGAGCTTCCCTGAGACGGTTTCTGACAGTGTGTGCAGAAATTGTTTGGTTATGCAAACCAATTGTTTCAGCAGCTGTCTGAGTGGCTGGTCTCAGACGATCTTGGAGGTGAACCTGCTGGATGTGGAGGTCCTGGGCTGGTGTGGTTACAAGTCATCTGCGGTTGTGAGGCCGATTGGATGTACTGCCATATTCTCTGAAACGCCTTTGGAGACGGCTTATGGTGGAGAAATGAACATTCAATGCACGAGCAACAGATCTGGTTGACATTCCAGCTGTCAGCATGCTTGTGGCATCTGTGACATTTCGCTGTGAGACAAACTGCACATTCCAGGGTGGCCTTTTATTGTGGGCAGTATAAGGTACACCTGTGCACTACTCATGATGTCGGATCAGCATCTTGATGTGGCACACCTGTGAGGTGGGATGGATTATCACAGCAAAGCAGAAGTGCTCACTATCACACGTTTAGACTGATTTGTGAACCATGCTTGAGAGAAATGGTAATATTGTGTATCTGGAATGAATTTTAGAACTTTAAGTCCATCTCATGAAAAATCGGAGCAGAAACAAAGGTGTTGTGTTCATATTTTTGTTGTGTGTGTGTTGTGTGTGTGTGTGTATATATATATATATATATATATATATATATGGAATCAGACGAAATGATTTCTTAAGGAACAAAATCTCAGCAAACATGATGAAATGAAGAATCTTACCAGTTCTAGGTTTAACTGGTCCAGCTGGCTTAAAATATTGGCTCCTTTTCTCAAGTCTGACTGTAAGTGGTGAAGTTCCTTTGGTGGTGGAAAGTGAAGGTCTGCATGAAGTCAGAGCTGAGACAAGAAGATCCAAGTGAGAAAAGTGGACTGGGATTAACCCATAGTGAAGCACTGATCAATGACCATGTTATAAAGACCAGATTAGTTAATCATTAGATTAGTAATCTTGAGGGTTTCCATTTTGTTAAATTTAAGTTAGATCTAAATAATAATGAAAAAAACTAGGGTTATGTGATGGCACACAGTTGCTTTGCAGCAAGAAGATTGCAGGATTTAATAACAGATGTGGCCCTTTCTGTGTGAAGTTAGGGTGGGTGTTCTCCCATGCATGCATTTATATTCTCTGAGTACGCTCCAGTTTCTTCCCACAGCACCCAAAAAATGCATGTTAGGGTTAATAGTAAAAAGTGGCTGATAGCAGGGCTGGAAGATATGGTAAAAAATAGTATATTGATAAAACATTTTTTGTAATGATCGATAATTATGAAAACATACATTTAAAATTGTAGAAAATATATTTAACGTGAAGCCCTGGCCACTTTATTTTTGATATTTTTCTTTTTTTTCTCCGCCTCTTCTCACACTGCCTCATGCTCTGTTTTGGTTTGAGAGGGGAGGGGCCTGGTGATGTAGCGTGCCTGAGTCTGTGGTTTTGATTGGTTAGAGTAACTAGTGAGTCTAGTATGCTGCTACCTGACAGGTTATAATTAAAAAAAAGGTTATAATGAAAAAAGGAAACCTTTTTATCAAAGTTTTTTTACACATTTTTTTTTCTATCGCACACCATGTCTATCAATAGATGTATTGAAACTATTGAATTATCGTCCAGCCTAGTTGATAGGACCACAAATAGATCTGTGGTTCTGTCTTGCCTCTCAAATGCAAATGAACCTACAGCATTCAACCACCAGTTTCCTGGAAATAAACGGTGACGGCATTATTGTCGTCTCACTCCATAGACAAGCATTAGGGTCTTCAACCTTTGAGGTTATCTGTGCTTTATTTGTGATTTAAAACCTGATAATGATAAACGATGTGCCAGGGGTACTTGTGAAAGTGACACACAGTATCCTGAGAGAATATTCAGACTATTTTAAATCCCACACCAAAAAAAAAGCATAGATAAAATTCTCTATTGCACAAAGCTCATGGCAGACCACATAGTCAACCCGTGACAACTATAAACCTGGATGACTGTTTTTGCTAAGGTAAGAGAATGGTTTTGTATAATCTTAGCAATCGGACCTCATACGTTCAGATCAATTACCTAAAGCCTAGTGGTAATGAGTAACTAAGAAGGGTGGGACTTAAAGCTACATCCCTAGGTGTGAGTGTTTGACTGGTTGTCTCCGTGTGCCACTGTGATGGACTGGAGCTGTGTCCG